ATTGTGGGCTTGCAAGGAGTTTGAGGCTCTGTTGGATTTGTTTGGTGGGGATTGGCAAGGGATCGAAAAGGGGTTTTGAGTTGGCATCTTGAAAGATGCTCACACTACAGGTGTTATTGGCGTTCCACGGTGGGACATATGCATATGGGGATGGGCACGAGAACAGGGATTCTTGAGCTTCCAGGTGTTTCTTTTTCTTTTGGTTTCTGCCTCTTCCGGATTATTTCTTTCTTCCATTATACCGGGCACGAGACTACTTATACCTTGTTTATTTGTCTATCTTTTTCAACTTATATGTTGCTTGAAATGTTCTTGCCACCACTCCTTTATGTTCCTACTGCTCAAATGCAGCAGCTCTTCTACGAGCCATGTTTTTTTTGTTTCATGCTACCGGCCACCTGTTTTCTTACCTATTCATCACCTACCTCTTCTAGCTACTGTCTACCCTAGCTAGCCTGGGACCTGCACCATATGGCTAATGTTTTTACAATGTTATGTTTATGGCGATCATGACTCGAAGACTTGATGATCCCATTGATGTTTACGTTTGCAGTAGTTTTGAATTACTTCTGCTCACCTTTTCTGCATGTATCTCGCTGCAGTCCATATTTTACGTTAACGTTGCTCACATCTGCATTTTTATGATCGTCCTATATCGATCTAGAGATTGTAAATTCTGTTGCGTGTGGGTACGTTATATATGGTTGCATATTATCCATTAATTTCGTATTCTCCAATCAGGTCGACAGGTGGACGTATACGATTGCGTATTAACCATGCGCAAAAATGTAATACACAGCCTGGTGCACTGCTGTGCTGTGCCAAAACCTCGCCCCCTTCGAGGGGGGGGGCTATGTACGAGACTAAACCTTCGCAGCCACGAGGGGGCTTATATATGTCTACTACTGCTTTAGGTATGTACTTGCCTCAAGGATGATAATGTACTTATGATAATTTATTCGTCGAACGTATCGATCGCATCGTTGCGATGCATGCCCTTACTGCAGCGCTCTGTGGGGCATGGGAGGACACTCACCTGCAATCCGAATGGGCAAGATGGCCGAGTTGGTTATGGCGCCAGGTTAAGGAACCACCTTAATTACATCTCCTGGTAGGGAAACCTGCGTGGGTTCAAGTCCCACTCTTGTCATTATATTTTTTTTCTACTTGGTTTTGTTGTTTTTATTTTGTTTTCGTTGTTGTTTCTTCTTGGTGGGGGTGTGGTGGTTTGCTGATTCGGGGGTTGAGTGGGGGGCGTGGGGTGGGGTGTGGGGGGGAAGAACGACGTTGGTAAGATGCCAAATGGTGCGGGAGGGGGAGGGGGGTGTTCCTCTTGGTTGTGTGGGAAGGCGAGGTACATACTGGTACCGAAGGCAGCCTCCCGAATATGTTCTCCAACGTAGGTATACGCCCCTGCCAGTGCTTCCTAGAGCGTACGGGAAGTTGCATTCACGAAATTGCGTTGCACACCAGGCTACGTTTTATTTAGGTGTCTTACTCGCCAGATCTCCCGGTAGTCCCGTGCCCTCCAAAGGTATACAGGTTCCGGTGGATGCCTACATGTAGCTGCGGATAACTTGAACATCACCTACCTAACATATCGCCTCGAGGCTAACCTACATGTATATGTGCATAGCCGTACTGGCGCCCCGCATAAGATGTCGAGTTCGGTTTAAAATTTGTTGTTCTCGTCTTAATTACTTTCTGGGGGAGATGAAAATTGATTTTTGTTGTTTGCGCATGCTGTTTGTTTTTTTATTGTTTTTTTTTTTTTTGTTTCGATATCTTCGATCGATCGCTGGATGGTGGTGTGTGATTGTTGCATTATTTGTTGCAATTGGGCCGCGGTGTTGTCCGGTGATGATTGCGATTGATATTAATGTGAAGCATGGAATTAGAGGTCCGGAAACTCGCACGTATATCACTGTTACCCATATACATGCATATCTACATACCTCATACTTTAAAAGACGCCGACTCGACCGGCGTTGTCAATCCGGAATAATCATTAGGCGGGTGAGAATAATCCTGGCGCCTAAATTACTACTCGTAATGTCAAGACGTTTTCGTACGAGACAAGTCGATCCGCAGGGGATAAATGTATGTGCTCTTCACCTTATGCACCTGATCCTGGGTTCGGAAACGTCTTGACATTACTAGTAGACTAGGTACTACCTAGGTAAGTAAGTGCACGATGCCGAAGGCTGGCTACGGGTATGAACTCCACTTTCCCGACTCGACTCGTGCGCATGCGGGTATTGAGTTTCCGGGTGCCCGGGTGGAAAACATGTCTCGTTGTGTTTCTTGCTTTATTTTTCGTTGTTTCTGCTTGCTGGAATTAATCGCTGTGCTGATTCGAAAATTATGATCTGGAAGGAATGCAGGACCGATATTGGCACCGGCAGTGCACCTCCGGCCGGGGGGGTCTCCGCCGTCGGTGTGCTCAAAATTCGAAATAAGGCTGCGAGCTGGGAGTGTGCGGGATTACTGTCGACTTCGGGTATTGAGTTTATTGCCATGGACGTCGACTGGGGAGTTGCTGCTGGAATCGATGACGTTGTGACGAGGTCGATATCGACGGATGGTGAGACCTACCTCCCTCGTCCCCCGACAGATACGGTAGTCGACTACTTCCTTATTTGGTTTGCGGGGGGAGGACGTGCTAGTATGTACCAGAAAGAGTAATTGATGTTCTCGTGCATGGATCACCAGGTGATCACGGGTTAGCAGCGGAGAATAGTTCTCGTTCGGTACGTACCTTTGTCTTTGATTGGTATTTTGCGGTAGGGATCCGGAGGTGCCAGGGTGCGATCTCCAGGAAAGAGAGGTTTTCGGGGAAAGGTAGCTTTATATAAGAGAAAAATGGCGGGGCAAAACCTGAAAAGCATACGTAGCCCGCCACCTAGTTTAGTAATTGCTTACCTATAGATTGTAATATATGTAATATTGATTGTAATCTAAGAAGGGGTTTTCTTGTTTTTCTTGTATGACGGTTCCTGTACGTATACTCATTCAGACATACTTAGGTATGTTCCCCTGCAGCTTCGCTGGTAATACTGTCTCACGATATCAATCTGTACACGTATACTAGCCACGTGCACGTAATGAGGATTTGGATATAGATGTGTATGATGCTCATGATCCTGATCATCATGCCTGTGATCGAGTCTAGAAATTTCTCCGGCCAGTTATAGTTAACGTTCTAGATAGAATATTGATCGAATCAGGGCCATGCAGCTGAGGTACAGAGGATCGAGAATACTATAAATTACATCCCTAGAAGTAGGTACTGATTTCGATATCAGCAGGTGAGTATAGCATGACTCGGTGCGCTGACGCGGAGGTGAGTACGAGGCCTAAAATGTACTGAAAGTAAGATGGAACTTGCTTATTCTCGATGGAACCAGGCCAGATGGAACTAAGTACAGTAGCGGTACAGAAGTCTGCGACCGATTTACATGCCGATCACCACACAATCGGTCTCAGACTTTTGTACCTCTACTGTACTTCTTGCCTCGTGCCCAGGCCTTATCAGGAAGTAACCAAGTTCGGGACAGAGGCTACCAAGTGCGGAAGTAAGCACATAACGCTGGGCGTTAGCAATAATAACTCAAGTTTCTCTAGAAGAATTAGAAGAAGTATAACATTCTTCTATACGTTATTACCCTCGACTTGATTTGAATCTCGATCGCAGGATGGTGCATTGGTATGGCGATATCGGGGATATGTATGGGTAATATAAGGTAACGGTTTTAGGTAATTTGTGCGTCATGCTATGTATATGGTTGCAGAGAGTGCGTACCAAGTACAGAGTTTACAGTGGCTGCAGTCTAGCATTGCAGCACGTGCACCTTACGATACGTGCACCTTACGATAAGAGACTTTTGGATGCAGTATACGCTGGCAATGTGGATTGGGAAGAATTTTCGAGCGATCGCTTAAGCTTGACATGGTATGATTTAGGTATGATAATTCTGAATATGATGGAGCGCCCTAGCAGCCCTGAACGGTGTTGTTTTCCTCGGTTTTCGGATATCCTCGGCTGGAGGGGAAAAACAGCCCACTTGCACGTCAAATGCATAAGACAATAGGCTTGTCATTTAACATGGTGTGATAGTCTCATGGTGTGAGCATGAGACAGTAGCATGACTGAACGCTTGGGTAATTATCTGCAATAGAGTGAATCAGGAGCTCCGGTCGAGGTAGTCTCATCTCTAGAGGTAGTCTCCTCCGGAGGTGTTTGAATCCTGATGTATTTGAACCAGGCTATGTATTTGATCGTACATATACTTCTAGAAGAAGTAAGCACTGGCACCGAATCATGGAAGTGCTGGTATAAGTTGCGCCGTAATGCGGGCTCTAAACAAATATCTTTTTCATCGTACTTCTTCTTCTAGAAGCCTTAATATTGCCTGCAGGTTCACAAAACAATTATTTTTCCAGAATGAAAAGCCCAACCCCGGAGGCGGGAATTTGGCGGGAATTTTACAATTGATCGATTGCAAGTCTGGAATAAAATAATGCTTCTATATCGACGTCCATATACGTATACTTGTCCGGATGTTTGTTGAGTTATATTTCTCATTGAGGGAATGCATGCATCGACCGATCTTCTATGCAGAGTTAGTCCTCATGATCATCTCACTCAGTTTTGATATATCGATACGATGTTAGATGTTGGGTAAAGACTGTGGAACTGTTCGGTTGTACCTGATAGGCCAACATTGAAACTACCTACCTAAGTATAATACGTTAATTATATCATAGGAGAATAGGATGTCCTATGAGCGCAAGATTATCTTAACATTGCAACCGGCAAGTCCTTAATGGTGATAATATAATCAACGAATATGGAAAGGGCGTCGGGAACTGGATCGATCAAGCCACATAAGCCACATGAATTCCTCAGGCTGTGGGGTATAATTTACTCCATTCCAATTGAATACATCGATATCGAGGGATTACTATCGACGTCTTGCAATTCGAACTCAACAAAACATGGGCAAGTGGTCTAGGGGTATGATATCTCATTCGCATAAAGTGTTGGTTAACACCAACTACTCAAATTGAGTCTTGAGATGGTCCGGGGTTCAATTCCCCGCTTGTCCAATCTTTTTATTATTTCTTGTAAAATACTTTTTTCGGTACTCTGTATATTTCTCTTTTAATTGATTTCTGGAATATAGATTAGATCTTGCGTGAGCATATATATCAAGAAAAGTAGTGAGGAGATACCACGTATAACAGTCGCTTACTTCCCTAGCCTCCAGCTGCTTCGTATTCGAGAATTCAATTGATGTGAAATGTGTTTTATTTCGTTTTGGTCTGGTGTTTCCCTGCACTCTGTGTAAGCAGTGGGTCCTTAATGCATCTATGCATCTAGCCGAGACAGTGCGTGGAGACGTCGACGAGGCAGCTTTGTGGTTGCACCCAAACGCTCAGGTGGGGGATCTACAAAACTGCTCTGAGGCACTTTGATATTGCATCAAATCATCCCCGGCTTCGGCTGCGCACGTGCATTATAAACTTTTCAAGATTTCCATTCAGACTGACATATCTAAGCTTCGCTCATTGCAGCAATGGGATCATAATCAGATTTTCAATTTCAGAAAGAAGCACATATACATATGTAATGAGGCTACATATGTATGCATGCTGCAGACATCGTTCGATCCCCGGCGCTGATCTGGAATTGATTTGAATTGGGTCATCGCATCGCAGTGCATTGCTCGAACTCGCAGGTGTCAAGTATATGCAAGTATCATGTAGGCTATCGCGAGTATGTACAGTACGCTAAATAAGCAATATATGTCTTGTCCTGTAATTTTTCTCCCAATGACTCTCGAGGCCAGCCACAATTAATTGCTCAAGGATTCTTCGATAGGTGGATATATACCGGAAACGAGGCCAATGTGAATACAGGCCAGCCAATGGCATTTGAATTCATGCACCCGGAAATCAAGATACTTTGTTTTACTAAGAAGTAACCTGTAGGTGGGAAGTATCTCTAGTAGATGATATGTTACTCGATACATAGCCTCGGCACTTATTCCGTTGGATATCCGGATGTATAATTGAATGCATGCGCTTCGCGACTTTTACTGGCGATGGATAGATGGAGATAAGATGTGCGTGTCAACTTAGTTTCATTTATTTTTTTGGTATACTCGAGTATTGTTAATTATACACAAAGTACATTTAGTACGCGTAAATACATTCCCCGCAATGGGACTGAGACTACCCGCGGTTCGGAAGGGCTGGGCACGAGACTACTACCCGCAATGCTTTTATTCGCTCCAATGAGCGGGGTATGAGCCGCTTGTACAGCTGCACCTGGCTATACAGGAACTCAACATACCGGAAACCTTGGTATTCCGGACACAACCCCTCGAGACTTGTGGTTTTCTACTTTTTACCACCAAAATACCACTTGCTATACTGGACACCGGACCGGACCGACTTTTCAAACTCAAAACCCCTGTTTTCATACAAATTGTATTGGCTATTCCGGACAGTAGGGCAAAATCCCCCCCAAAATTTTCAAATTACGCCTGTTTTGGTAAGTATTAGGTCCAAAATACCACAAAAAATTACCACGTGATTAAGTATTTTTCAAATTCCTCTAATTTCGCCCTTATAATTCCACTCAAGCCTTAGCTTGCATTTGCTATTCCGGACACTCGCTATACCGGACACTTTTTGGCAGATTTTTGCCGTCCGGTATAGCCAGGTGCAGCTGTAGTCTCATGCCCAGACCCTCGTAGAGGGCCGCTCGGGGAGGGGCGACGAGGCCAATTAGGAAGTTCTGTCGGGTAAGCATGCTTGGCAATTACCGAATCGGGAGAATCAACTCTGCGCCGATCAACAGTGGTATCTAATAGGAAAGACACCGCACAAAACACCAATAAATTCTCTAACGTGTCGATGGTAAAATCAAATACAGCCTCAGGTACTTTACAGCCCAACTCTATACTCTCATTTCAACACATATCCCACCACCAGTCACCGGAAAGGCGGCCTGCGCCATAGCCTCAAGCACCAGCATGTGCATTCCACTGCATCAAAATAGGCAAGATGGCCGAGTTGGTTATGGCGCCAGGTTAAGGAAACACCTTAATTACATTACAATCTCCTGGTAGGGAAACCTGCGTGGGTTCAAGTCCCACTCTTGTCACTATACTTTTGCTGATCAGGAAATCTGGATAGATAGATATTCCCTCGAAGCATTTTTTGCATTTCTTCCTTTGGAATCGTGTACAGCGCCTTTGCGGGGCGGGGCGGGGTTCATGTTTTTTTGGGCTTTTCTTTCGCTCGGCCTCGAGCTCCGAAGACTGCCATAGGTATGTGTGTATGAGCAAAACGGTCCCCCGGTCCGGCATCAATTGCTCATCTAGAGTTTTCACAGTCCGCCAGCTCTGGGGGCGGGGCAACCTACTTTACAGTAGACTCACAATTGTTGAAGGGTTTTACCGTACCAATCGGTTTGGTTCCATCTGCTGAGGCTTTGGCCAGTGGCAGTAATTTGCATCAAGCAACTATCTAGCTTCTTCGATATATATCGATCATGATTGATCACCCATACAGACGCATATCATATCTGCCTTTTTACTGAGTGATATCCCCAACGTTAACTCGGGGAAACGTGGCGGTGTAGCTTATTAGCTCATGACAGAGTGATATTTTAAATTTGCAGATCCCACATATTTTACTATGCCTCTGTAAGGCCATTTTGGCACACCGGTTCGGAGGGGGGGGGGTTGCGCAATTTTAAGACCACTGTACTCGAGTGTACATTTGTGGGGCACTGTTGATTATAACGGTTTCTGAGAGCACAGTGGCCCTGTATGCCCTGGGCCATGGGGAAATTTTTAATGGATATGTGATATTCGTTGCAATATTATTGGTCATTGATGACAGCTTACGTATATACATACCTAGGTATCTTTAGGGAATTCCAAATTCCATTGGTTCAGCGGATCCGGAGTACTACTAGGTAGGTAGTTCTACATGTGAAAAGAAAGAGCAGGGTTACCCTCCCTGTTGCCTACCAAAAAACAATGGAACGTCCCCTTCCCATGGGCCTGGGAACGTTTATGGTATCGATATGATCATGACATGGTTTACCTATTTAATTTCATTTTGAAGAAAACAAACTGATATTAACGACTTTCGACGATCTAGATCCATGGCCATGTGGGCTGTGTATGTATGTCTTGCTACATGGTACGTCGAACTGAAGTAGAGTACATACAAGGTAAGAGGTAAGTAGGGGGGGACCCCCAGACTTGAGCCTATACCCTTGAGCCCAAAAGCTCAAATTGCTAGCTTAGGTAGGTACTTGGTATTCGACTCCGGTCCGAAGGACGGACGACCAATTATGATCATATGAGGCTTCCCGAACGAGTTGATATGTTGAATTTGAAAGCCGGAGCTGCGGCCGTACCGAAACACAGATCGACGGAGAAATGCACACAGCTTTCCGCCTTGTGCGCAGCTGGCTGCAGCATTACCGCCAGTTACGTATATCGTACTTTTTTCGATCCCGAACTCGAGCTCCTCTTGCAAAAATACTCAGTATTTAATTTTCTTGCGCATGCCGCGGCCAAGGGTCAAAAGTTGTACTCGAGTGCGCACCCGCCCATATACATGGCTTAGATATCGATACTGACATGCATACATATGTCTTATATATAAGCTTGCGGCAAACACGGCCGGCGCGGACGCATGCACCTTCCCAAAACCAGGTATTTGCTACTGGAGTAGGTAGGTGGTGAGAACCTTATACGTATACGTTCCATGGTACCACCCCACAACTTTCTTGGCGTTTCGTTTCCACTTGCTCGAGTAGAAGAACCAAGCAACGATGCACGTATATTGTATGTACGCAGTCCCCTACGATGCACGACATCATCGGGCCACTTAGATACCGATATGCACATCTCTTGGCATATTCGCTAGAACACTTCAAAGTTGTTTTTCTAGCCTCGTTCGATCATGATGCTTTCACATCTTTTATCGACGCATTCCAGAGCAAAAAAAAAAAAAACGATAACCAACCTCCCACCGGGCCCACTACCCCACGGATCGATACATGGATAACTCCGCCCCAAGCTCATTACAAATCGGGCTTCCCTTACAAGACTGGAGAGTGATATCAACCTTGCTCCTAAAAAATATGCCTCGTGATCGGCAACTAATCACGAGTAGTCTCACCAAAAAAACAAAAAGCCGGACGGGCAAAAACACCAAAAAGATAATGACAAGAGTGGGACTTGAACCCACGCAGGTTTCCCTACCAGGAGATGTATATACATTAATTAAGGTGGTTCCTTAACCTGGCGCCATAACCAACTCGGCCATCTTGCCTATTTGATGATTCGCAATCATCTCTTTTGGTTATTGAGAAAATTCTGTAATTTGCTAGTCGCATGCATTCCCAGACCGTATGTATTATGTATATTTGAGGGTAACTTGCAATTGCGAAACGAATCAACATTCAGATCGTGCTGTCTATTGGAAACATAAAGAATAGCATGACAATAGACTAGTTGTGCACATTGATCGCATTCATCATGCATCAGCAGTCCCTTATCAATAAAAACCATGAACAAATACAAACAAAAATAGAAACTTATGAAAAAAAAAATGAAAAAATTGCGGAAATCCTCCAATTCCAATTGCATTTAAATGAACCCAAAAAAGCAATCCAATCCAATCCCAAAAATATCGTAGCTAAAAATTCAAACGGAACAACGGAAACCACTGGGAAAAATAGGAAAAACATAAAAGGAAATCCAACAGTCCAGCATTAGTCCACCCTTTACCCTGACCTGACTTTAAGCCATACCAGCCATATATACCGCTCAATTCCCGCGTTGGAAAGTTCTTCTATCTCCAACTCATCCTGTAGTCGACTCCCCCGCAATACGTATACCCGCTCCTTAATACCCAATGTAAACCGTCTTCTTCTACAATTCCCACAACATACCACATTAGCTCTCTGCACACTGGGGATCACAGATGATGATGATAGATCTAGAGTTTCAAACTTACATGAGTCCAAGATAACAACCCAGCCCTCGAATTCTCGACACCATCGCCAGATGCTT